CTAACTATCTTTATTGCTATGCTAAACTTCTGTGTATATATTTTATTCTTAAACATGCTTTGTTCTATATCATTCCTTGGTCCCACTGGAAATTTCTGCAGATGGAAAGGAATTTTTTTTACTTCCCTCATCCTGCTATAGCCCAAAATGCTGCTTGTGTGAGGAACGGTGATCCCCCAGGACAGCAAGAAGGGGGGTTGTGAGGACTGCTCCCTAATCCATCCCCTGCTATCCACTCTGGGATCCAATCCCATGTCTTAAACTGTGGACTACCTATTATCTCCAACAAAAATTAGAACTTCTAGGACTGGGTACTACTTCTAACACCTGACTTGTATAGTGTGCCAAATGACTATGCGACAATGCTTTATACGAGCTTCTTTTATAATATCCAAATATTATACATTACAGATCGTGAGTGGTTTTTATTTAGAACTTGAAATAGTGGTTGAAATGGTGTTGCTTTAATAGTGAGGGGAGAAGCAACATAAGCAATCAGTGACTATAATGCAACGTCTGACAGGATAATCTCAATAAAACTTCATGGAAACATAACCATAATTCAAATTTACTCCCCAGCTATAGATGCTGAAGAGGAAGAAAAGGAAAGTTTTTATGCAAGCATCCAGGAAGAAACTGATCACACATCTAAATGAAATGCACTGATAATTATTACGACTAGAATACAAAAGTAGAAAACAAAGCAGAATCAAACATTGTAGGAAAACTGGGACTAAGATTATGAAATAAAGCATTAGAACAATTTATAGAATTCTGTGAAGCCAACACAGAATTCTATGAAGCCAACAATTTGTTCATTGCAAACACAAGCTTTGGGCAACCAAGCAATCCCATTGGTGAGAAGCACAGAGACCACGGAGAAGATCAAATAGATCACAAGGAGAAGATGGAGAAGCTCTATTTTCTATGCTAAAACAAGACCAGGAGCAAACAGTGGTACAGATCACAAACTGTTAATATAAAAAAATAGAATAAAGCTGAAGAAAAACACTTAAATCAGCATAGTGCCAAAAATATAATATAATATTCCTCAAGATTGACATAACAAATTTGCATTTGTAAACCAGCGGAACTGTGGGTTAAAACCAGACATCAAGGAATAATGTGAAAAGACTATTCCTGTACACACACACACCAAAAGGAAAACCCTTGATGGATGATTGATGAAACTCTTCAAATTGCTAAAGATAGATGAGAAGCAAAAGTAAAAGGTAACAGAAACAGAATTCTAAATGTACCTTTTCAGTTGCTTGCACATAGAGACGAAAAGAACTATTATAATAAACAATGCAAAGAAACAGAATTGAATAGAAAAGGAACAACGAGAGATCTGTTCCACAATTTCCAAGAAATCAAAAAGAACTTGTGGACCCTGATCAGGTGGAAAAGCAGAATTAAAATGTTTTAAATAAAAATAAATAAATAAATTCATGCATGGCTAGGGATGCTGAAAGATCATGGAAATACATTATCTGATCAAAATAAATCAACAATACACTGACGAGCTACACATAACAGATGAAAGGATCACAGACTGCTTCAAAGAAGAATCTTTCGGTAAAGAACTTGCAATTTTAGAAAGTAAAGTAAAAGCTGCACTCAAAGCAATTGAGAGGAAAATCACCAGGAGTAGTAGGCTTGCCAAGTCCCCCCGGGGGTCTATGGTTTTCCCTCGGACAGTCGTGGCCCCGCCCCCAGCGTACCCAGCGTCGTCACATCACTTCCTGGTGACGTGCATGCGGCGCGCACGCGCGCACTCAAGCCAGGAGACCCCCGCTGCAGCGATTTTTTCACTTGGCAACCCTAAGTAGTAGACAGGATAGCAATAGAGCTCGTTCAAGTATGCAAATTGAATCCATTAAAATCTTAACAAGAATATGCCAATATGATGGATCCCTGCTGCTTCTTCACTGTGAGGCAGATTTTTCTTGCCAAAATTCTTAGTTCCCTTCAGGTAGTGAGCTAGCCCCCTAGTAGCGTGATAATATTTGTGGTTTTATCAATCTGAATGTCCCACTCTATGACAGAATCTAATTTGGCTTTTGCCCAGCCCAGGAACTTGTCAGGAGAAAACAAGAGCCCTCTTTTTAGATCACTTGAAATGGCACTGGAGACTGTGTAACAGTGAACAATAATTTAATAGGCAGGGATGGTATGGGGTAGTCAGGTATTGTAAAGGCTGAGGTAAATGTTGTTGGTAAAAGCGTATATTTTTCAGTTGACGAACAAGATGGTGTAGTAGCTTATTTTTACAAATTTTTGGTTCTTATGAGTGAATGATGGTTGACTAAGTACTTTGGTTTCAGTTACAATGTTTCTGCACAGAATTTTTGCAGAGAATTTCCTAATAACTGGTCAGGTTTTCTGGAAAGGCCACTCTTTTAGTGTATCAAATTTTCTGAAATCATGTGTCTTCTTTCCCCTGAGTAGTCTATCACCATCTCCTTTTACTACAGACCAGGGACTGCCTCAGTGCCAATTCCCTCTATAACTGGACAGGAGTTATATTTCTTCACTTAAAATATAATCCTATTCCTTTTGGCCTGAATGGGAGCTTCAGCCTGCTACTCAGCCACTCTTTGCCAAAATCGCAAACCCCAGTTCTTGGCATTCATAGTTCATACTATGGTATTCCCTAGTACTATGTATGGATGTGAAAGCTGACAGGAAGAAAATAGATTCATCTGAAATGTGGTGGTGGAGTTTTACAGATTCCATGGACCATCAAAAAAGTTGTGGGTTCTAGATCAAACCAAACTTGAACTCTCGCTAGAGGTGAAAATTAATAGACTGAGGCTATCATACTTTGGTCACATGATGAGAAAACAAGGCTCAGTGGAAAAGACAATAATGCCAGGAAAAAAGTTGAAGGCTGTAGGAAATGACAACTCAACACAAGATGGATTGACTCAATAAAGGAAGCTATGGACTTCAGTGTGCAAGACCTGAGCAAGGATGTTACTAATAGGATATTTTGGAGGTTATTAATTCATAGGCTCTCCATATATCAGAAGCAAGGTGATGGCACATAATCCATACACAGTTGAAATAACAAGGAAGCAAAGGTGCAGATATACAGTGCAGTCCTACATAGTATTCCAGTCAAAGCTAATTAAAACGAATGGCTTAGACTATAGCACAGGATTGCACTACTAGAAACATAGTCTATGAGAGATCTGAATTCTCTATCCTCCACGGCACACGCACACACATAACTGCCATCACTTCATATATCATTCCAACAGGGCTTCCAATCCATGGGTGTGTGGGTGTGAGTCTATGCACATGTGCACAAAGGGATTGCTTTACTTTATGTTCACATTGTTTTTAGCAAAGAACTAATATGCAGCTAGGAGAAACTAAACAGAAATTTGGATATGTACATAATCATGAGTTACCTTACAACAAAGGTAACCTAAGACAAAAGCTCCAAGAAGCTATACCCAGGAATAAACTTTAAGATAATTGCAAATTTCTTACTCATACTTACATCCTCATTCAACTTATCTTTTTGCTTAAGTAGCTCATTTATTTTCTGTTGAGATTGTTTTAGATCACAGTCCAACATAGAGCATCTTTTTTCAACTTCTAATAAGCAGTTTTCTACTTTTTGCTTTGAAACTCTTTCCTCCAAGAGCTTCTTTTCCATTTCTATAAAATTAAAAACAAGCAAAGTCAGCATGTATCATTTTATAACACTTTGACACTTGTACAATTTTATTTGTAATACACTAACAAAAATCAAGGACTTCAGTAAAGAAAAATTGTATAAATGAAGTTGAAAACAGTTATTAATAAATTCTCTGCCATTTTTTAAACAAGGTGTCAGAGACTCGCATAGGGATAACCCTAAAATAAAAAATAAACTTTGTAAGAATAAGTGATTTTATAATTTGAATCCTTTCTAGCCGGTGTCTTAATAGGTCATTTACATTTTTATTCAGTTCCATGTGGTTATATCTGAACAGGTCTTGGAGTTGAAGAGGTATCTTGATTCCAAGATACTGTCAGTATTTTCCAGCCCAGCTAAATGAAAAATTACTTTTTACTAGGTTAGTGTTCTCCTTTGACATTACTATTGGATATAATTCTGTTTTGGTCTGGTTCACACTGAGTCTCGAAATACAGTTATACCGAATAAGAATGGTTTCAATGGCTTGCAGAGATGTTACAGGGTTTGTAACATATAATACCAGATTGTCTGCAAATAAAACTAATTTGTTTTTTCTTTTAGGGGGATACCTGTAATTTGTGGATCACTTCTGATGACTTGGACCAGAGACTCGAGACCTAAGGCAAATATTAAGGGGGAAAGAGGGCAACCTTGCTGTGTGCCTCTTGATATATCAGCAGATTTACACCTCTGCTTTGGGAGAAGAATATAAAGCCTGAATTGCTCTTTTAAAACGGTCCCAAAAATTCATATATTGTATTAATAATCCTATATATAAGACTTCTAGTTTATCAAATATTTTTCTATATCTAGTGATAAAATAAAAGATGATTTAATATGATTAAGTTTACAGTATTGGATTATGTTCAATGTTTTGCGGGTATTGTCAACTGAAACCTTGATTGCTCTGGATGAATATATTTATCTAAATATATTTACCCCAATTTATCTGGGTGAAACGATTTATCTATTATAAGGATTAGTCTTGAGGCCAAGATTGCCATAAAGATTTTTTGATCCTAATTTAGGAGAGAGATAGGGCAATAACCTTTCATATCCACTAAGTCCATTTCTTTTTTAGGGATGACTATAATTTTTGTGAGCTCCCATGAGCTAGGCATTATTCCTTTATTTAGTACCAGGTTGTACATATCAGCCAGGGGGCTGGCAAGTATACTATGATATTTTGTATAAAACTCGGCTGGGTATTCATCCTTACCTGGGGATTTATTTTTTTGATGTTTTAAAATTATATTAATCACCTTCTGTGTGGATATGGTAAAAGGTAAAGGTTCCCTTGCTCGAAAGCCAGTCAAATCCGACTCTAGGGTTGCGGTGCTCATCTCCGTTTCAAAGCCAAAGAGGCAGCGCTGTCCGAAGACGTTTGTGGGTCTAAAAATTTTGTGGTCCTTTGAGATTTTCTTAATTAAAGTATTTGATTCTAAATAAATTTTAATTAAATTTTTGAGGGGTTGTCTGATATAACTTCTTATATTTTACAAATGTTTTCAATACTCCATTTGCAGATGAGTGTATAATCTCTTTGCCATCTCTTAGACAACGGATACAGCCAGTAGATTTTTTTTAACGCACCTTCCAAGAGAGCATTTGTAATGATGGGTTTTTAATGCCAGTATCCTTGCTTTATAAATAGTAAGTTCCTTTGAATTTGAGACACTCCTAAAATTCCTATTTTTTCCCATTCTGCTAGTAGTTGTTTATAAATTTTTTTACAGTGCTCTTTATGCTTTGCTTCTAACGGTTTAATTTTTGAAATAAAATAATTTTTGACTGATTTCTCATTTTTTGGTAGGTCGACAAGATTGAGAGATACTTCCGTTTTACGACTGCTTTTAAAGCATCCCAAATTACATTCTGGGTTACTTCACGATCAGTGTTGTGCTCGAAATACTCTGACTTCTGTTTCAACTTCAGTAACTACCCCATCAATCAATAAAAAAGATTTGTCAAGCATCCAATTAGAAGTTTTGTCTCTCTGGTCTTTGTCAATGCACAATTGGACCAGAGTTTCATTCCAATATTAGCTTGAGGGACCCTGCTGATTAATGAATTCGAAATAAAGTTATAATTGATTCTAGTATGTACATTGAATCTGAAAGAGTAATAGGTATAGTCTTTTCCCCCTCTATGGTGGTGTCTCCAGATATCAGAGTTCAAATTTACTAAATATATTGGAAACTTCTGAATGATGACCTCTTCACGTGCTCCTGGCTGTCAGGTGTTTCATCAGGGGCAGGCATGACAGTCAGTAATTCTTTTCTTTTCCAACTCCTGTACACGCTTTTTCACCTTTTTTAGATTTGGCATTAACTTCCTTCAGAGTTTCTGCTGTTTGCTCTGTTAATTTCTTGGTTTCATTCAGTTCCAGTTGTTAAGCAGCAAAATTCTGGTTCAAAGTAGTCAGTTGCTGATTGATGTTTGTCATCTGGTCCAGCAGAGGGCGCAATGATTCAGCTAATAGCTGTGAAAGCTCGTTGGTAGCTTCCGGTCTCGGGCTTCTACTTCCCGATGGAGGCTTAAGCTGCGATGGTTTCTCTTTCTCGCCTCTCTGCCCTGCCATTTTTGAGGATTGTTTACTTTTGGAAAAGTTTGCTAAAATCTCTGTTTTCCACCAAAACGCTTTGCTGCGCTTCTGTGTGCTTCTTAAATCAATTCTATGGCTTTTACGTCTGGCACCCTCTTTTTAAAATGATCTGCTTGGATATCGCGTCTGGGAGTTCCCTCCCCCGCTCACTTAAATCAGAGGGGCTTTCTAGCCAGAACTCGGTGTTTTGCTTTCACCACGACTCACAGTTCATCGTTGGTCCTAGGACCCGCCTCAGGTACGTGTAAAACACCCGATCTTCACGCACTTGTCCCGGTCAGCGACTCTAGAGTGATACGGTCACACAGCGGTAGGACCTTCAGAGTGGAGGGAAGCCTCGATTCCCCGGCATTGAGCCAGAAAAGAGGCAATCCCTCAAAAAAAGCCCCATGGCTAGGAGCCCAAACGCAAGCACTCCGGTTGGGTAGTGGACAATCGCCCCCCCCATCCGCTGGCGTTCGGATCACGACCATGGGAGCTCACCAGGGTCACGTCCGCCATCGTGCTGCCAAAAACCTGAAGCCCATGTTAATATTTGTCTGATAAAACTTATAACACCTGAAAAATCCAAGAGGCAGCATTATACAATTATAATCTCCTAGGAGGACTTCTAGAAATAGTATTCAGTAATGACCACAATTATGTGGTTATTACTAGAGATGTGTGCTCAGTATATACTGAGCTGAATAAATACCTGAAAAATACCTTATCGGTATTTTCTGAGTATTTATTCAGCCAAAAAGATTCTCTACTCTGATTCGGCTACCGATCTAGCTGAGCCCAAATAAAAGCCAATATTATTTGGCTTTTATTTGGGCTCACCTTCACTCGCCAAGTCGGGCTCACCTTCACACGCTGAGCAGGGCCAAGCCAAGCCCTACCTACAGGTCAGACATGCATGGGCCCCCCACATGTCTTAAATGTGACTCTTTAAATGCGTTCTCCAAGCTGGCCCCTGCTGCGGTGGCGATACAGCTTGGAGAATGCATTAAAGAGACTGGTCTCCAAGCTGGCCCGTGCCACACAGCAGCAGGAGAGAAGTCCCTTCCTAAGTCATTCACTCACCCAGCCTCACCAGGAAAGCTCAGCATTTCCAGATATACTGCAGCATCGACCCCCCCACTCCCCCCCCGGTTCCCCAATGGAGAAAAGAGCTGTCCAGGCACCTTGGCACTTGCTTCCTTGCCAGCCATGGGAAGAACAAGTGGGGAAGGGAGCCGAGGATTTGGGCAGCAGGCATGTTCGAGGAGTGCGGAAGCCAAGAGAGAGAGATAAAGATAGCCGAAGTGCTCAGCTCCAAATTAACAACGTATTCATCTCCCCCCACCTCCCTGTGTGCAATAATTATGAGAGATGCTTCCAGATGGGAATAATTGAAACTGATCTCACTCTGGAAGGCACGTTTTTTTGCTACCAGCAATTCCACCTTGCTCCTCCCCAGCCCAGCTCATAAACTTCCCAAATTCTTCCTCCCTCTCCTCCACCTCAGAGGAAGAGGAGAGGGAGGAAGAATACGGGAAGTTTATGAGCTGAGGAGGAACGAGGTAGATCGCCGGCAACAAAAAATGTGCCTCACAAAGACATTAATTTGGAGCTGAGCACTCCGGCTGTCTTTCTCTCTTTCTCTCTCAGCCTCCCTACCTCTCAAACACACCCACCATCCAGAGCCTCAGCTCCCTTCCCCACTTGTTGCTCTTCCTGTGACTGGCAAGAAAGTAAGGGCCAAGGTGCCTGGACAGCTCTCTTTTCTCTGTTGGAGAACATGGGTGGCGAGTGGGGGGGTTGATGCTGCAGTATTTATAGAAAGGCCAAGCTTGCTTGGTGAGGCTGGGAGAGTGAATTACTTGGGAAGGGACTTCTCTTCTGCTGCTGTGCAGTGTGGACCAGCTTGAAGAACACATCTAAAGAGACCAGTCTCTTTAAATGCATTCTCCTAGCTGTGCCACACAGCAGTACAAGCTGGCTTAGAGAATGCATTTTAAAAGACCAGTCTCTTTAAATGTGTTCTCCAAGCCCCAGAACTTGAGTGAACTCATACCGCTTCGAGTTCACTCATTCATGGCTTGGTTTTGCAAAACCCATTTGAATGGAACAAGCCATGCTGCATTCAAGTGAGTCCAGAAGCAGCGCAAGTTCACCCTTCCCCATTATACCCTATGGGGACAGTCCTCATAGGGTATAATGGTGCCAAATAAATTTGGCAATTATTTCCCGAATCCCAATATCATACTGATACTGGGATTTGGGAATATTAGGAAATACCAATTTTTTTTGGTTCTATTTACCTGAACCTGAAAAGTACTGATATTTTTTTGCACACCCCTAGTCATTATTTACATCACACCAAACCACCTACCTATTCCAGATGTTGACCACTGATATATAGCTATGAAGCCAAATAGAGTTCATATCAGTTTAACACAATAAATTTGCAGTTGCTGAATTTAATTTGAAATATGAGGCAATGAAGTATAATGGCTAGAATGTCTGTCTTAATTTAATATGGGAGTTCAGATCCCTGCTCAACAATGAAGCTGACAGGGTAAATGTGGTCAAGTCATTCTCTTTTAAATCTGAAAAAGGGTATGGAACATATATAATAGATAAATAAAACTATGACTACGTGATATATCACGTCATTACCTTGCATGGCTTCAGACTTTGCTTCTTCAATAGACTCATAGATTTTATTTTTGTCAGCTAGCCGGGCTTTTGTTGCCTTATGTTCAGCTTCTTCTTGTTCCAAGTTCTGTTGCATGACTTTTAGCTTGTATGTCATATCTATTTCCATGTTGTTCTTCTCCTGTTAAGGAAATACACAGGAATGCAATTGTTTGAATATAATCCCACAAATATTTTAAAGTAAAAATATACACTTTAATTGGAAGACATGACCAGTGTCAGGAGAAAATGAAGGGGTCCGTCTAAGATTTCTAGTTTGATCATATTTCTACCTTGTGATAGGTAGTAACATACATTTAAAATGCTAATTTGGCTACCTACCAGAAGCATCATACATCAGAGAGCAACTGAATTATGTATTACTGCACAAAGAAAATCCTCAAAGCTAAAAAGAATTTGAGTTCTCACAACCTCGAGCTGGCTAGAAAGATTGGCTGTTATACTTGGAATGTGGGCAATGCCAGTACTGGGCAACCTCGGGGCAGCTTCAAAACTCTTCCCACCTCTCATTCCATGTCCCCATTGACTCCCAGTTTCTCAGTTTCACTGGACAGCTCCTTCCATCCAATTGGTCACCTGTCCTAACCCACAGCTCCCATCAGTTACCACCTCCAAGCCCACTAGAGTCCCCACAGATCTAGACCACAGTTCCTTGTATCCTTCATTTAGTCTCTGATCAAAGTTGCCTGAGGAAAGAAAAATACAATAAAATGGCCTTGCAAAATTATAGTTCATTATCACTCATAACTGATGTACGCAGAATGGAGCACAAACTTGTAGAAGCCTTGCCAAATAAAAATAATTGCAGATATGAACGTCCAAGCCTTGTTCTCTCAACAGAAACTCTATTGTGACCTATCTACTATTCCTCCAGAGATGAGAGCATCAACTAGCTTCAGAAAAATATATCCTAGCAACAGTTTATGGTTTAAAGCCAATGTAGAAGTCACAACCTTAAAGACAGATATATTCTTGGAAAAACACTACCACTTAATTTACTAGTTGCATGCTATGTAACTTTAAAGAGAGAGAAAATATATAATTACAGCTATCAAGGTATGCAAAAATCAGAATGTCTACAGCACACACTGTAATGTGCAAAAGTAAGTTATTATATACTTTTTTTTTTTACCTTTTCCAGATCTGTGAATCTTTCCTGTAATTGTCTTTTCTCTGTCTCAGTTTTAGCTAATGCGCTCTTCCCATTTTTTACTTCCTCTTCCAAACTAGCTATTCGGCCTAAGAATATATTGCAAGAGACAAATCAATAAAGAAATGCTACTAAATATGTTATTAAAATTTAACATATTATGAACTGTGATTTTAAATATGAAAAACAGAATTGTCAGATTAGTAGAAGAGTAAAAAATTAAGACAGTTAGTGAATTATACAACTAAATCCCAATTCCAAGAGCATCTTATTTTTAATATGCAAAGCAATTCCTATCAGAATGTTTTTCATACCTTGAAGATCACTGATAATCTCTGACCCATTAGTGCGATCTCTCCTTTCAGATTCTAGGGCAGACTGCAGGTTGAGGAAGTCCTTCTCTAGTTTGAGTTTGGCATTTTCCAGTGCACAATTTTTATCTTGTAGATCTCTGTTAGTAGCTTCCAGCTGCTGAATCTGCTTTGTACTCTCTGTCTGGTTCTTCCTGAACCTGGCTGCTGTATCAGATTCTGTACGCAGCAAAGCATTGGCTTCATCAAGCTATTGAAGCATGAGAAACATTTCAGACAAGTCAATATCAACAAAACTTTTTAAAACGTTTCCAAGGTGACATCACAGCTGCAAACTGTTACTGATAGGGCAATTTTAATACATAGATTTGAAATGAAGTCTGACAGACAAGTTAAACTCAAACAGAAAAATACCTTACCTGTCTTTGCAGCTGGTTGATTTTTTCATTTGATATCTGAGAGTTCTGATTCCGCCTTTTCAAATCTTCGAGTTGATCTTTCAAACTATTAACTGTAATTAAAACGTGTTGAATTTTTAAGTCCATCACACTTACTCAATAATGGCTTTCTACAAATTAATTCCTAGCAGCAAGAAGATAATTCTATTCTCACAATACCTCAAGATCCTGGTCCACATACCATCATTTTCCAGATTGCGTTTTTTATCTGCTTCATGTTCAGCTTTCCGCTGGTACTCCGCATTCTTATGCTGTAGAAGAGCTTTTTCCCTTTCCAACAGTCTCAGTGCAGACTCTACATTCTTTCTTGAGGTCATCTAGAAATATGTATTGAAGGGCAGAAGGCATCCTTGTTTTTAAAGAAGATTTATGAAGAATGGAACCACATTGCATTTAATGAAAGCACTGGGTTAGATCCAAATAGCTTTTTCCATTGTTGAAAAAGGAGGATGGGATTGCCTTTGACCATCAAAAAGACTATGCTGGGGATCGTGGAACTTGCTTGAATGGAAGATGTGGGATGGAGACTGTAATGAGGGAACTTTGTGCAAGGTTGAGGGGAAAAGCTGGCTTGATCCAAACAATTCAGCAAAAATGTTTCCATTTGGTTGCAGCAAATATGCTCAGCAGATATGGTTATGCAAATTACAGACAACCACAAATTTTCAAAATAGCAAAACAGCTTCACAATTCTGTTTAATGGAAATCTATAGTAAAAGTCTAATCCAAATGTACTATGTGGCTTTTAGAGCATTTAGGATTCGCTACACATCATGCCGAAATCAACAAAGCAGTTCTAGTGGTCTTATGTTGAATTTATTTCTCTCACCTTTATCTAGCTTCTGGTAAATATAGCCCCCCCAGCACTGGCATTCAATTTAGATCTTCTCAAAATCTAACAACCACACTTCATTTCTCTCTTATATTTCTTTAAAAGTACTAATGTATCTTTAGCACCACCAGATACTTTACCTTTAAAAAGGTAGCTCCCAGCACATTGAGGAATTAGTAACAATGCCATATTGACTAAAATTGACACCACTGTGAACCTAAATGGCTTGGCCAGTATAAAAAATAAAATTTGCAATTAAAATTTCATCTATTACTCCTGTGTTCCAAAGGAAACCTGATCAAGTAGGCAATTCTTCCTTCGGATCCAGTGTTTCTACTCCTTGATTTGAATGGATTGGATCCATAGTCAAATCCTGCTTTCAGACTGCCAAGGGAAAGCCTGTAGTGGGAGATCATCTGTTTTGAGCAGTGCTGGAATAAAGCACCTGGATAGTGCAATGATTGGGAGTGTTGGTTTTGGATGTGGGGGGGAAATGAGCTCAGATCCCTACACACTGATGAAACTCACTAGATGGTTCGGAACCAGACAGCATCAGAAGATATAGTGAAAAACCTGCTCCTTAAAAAAGTTAACATAGAGATTGGACAAGTAAACTTCTGTCATTAACCCCATTTATCCACCTGCCAAATCGTGATAATTTTATGCATTCAAAAACTGACAAGCAAAACAGTTTACATTTTTCTCACAAATATCTGTAACAGTCCCATTTGTATTCCAATAAATACTACTTGCTATAATTTTTTTACAACTTGACAGAGTTGTAAAACATGTTCTCATTATCTTGAATACAAAAGAATCAATTACATTTTTACTATGTTTGTATTTTCCACTTCTAATGGAAAAAATAAGGTAATGGAGCATATAAAAGATACTGGCTTACCTCTTCATCCAATTCTTTCATTATCTTCTCTAAGCGATTATTAATAGTTCTAGGGAAATATTGACATATTAGGAAAAAAGCACAGAATAAGGTTTTCTATTGTAAATTGTTTATAACAAACTACCCATATTTTTGTTAGCAACTGTTAAGTAATACATAGCACAACTCCATCCATGTGGTCATCCAGAGTCCAACCTGTGCTTTTGAAGGAAGCACCCTTTTTTGCACCTAAAACCTCACTCTTGAAGTTACCAAACTGCAGCTCTGCACAGACACAAAGCTCATCAATATCATGCACAACAACCATGAAGGAGTAACAAAAAATTCTCCAAACGCGACTCCATGTTGGTTCTGTAAGTTACAGGATATGGCAATCATGCAAAAACCAGCTGAACTAATCCTTATAGCAAAAGGCCTGTAAGAGATTTATGGTTCTGGTTTACCAACTGAACGCTCATTTTTATGCAAGTACAGTAGAAATAGGTCTCAAGTACAGAATTCTTTAAATATACTTGAGACCTATTTCTACTATACTTGGATACAAATGAGCATTCAGTTGGTAGACCAGAACCATAAAATGCACAACATAGGTCACAGATAGCTAAAGAAAGAAAAGAACTAAAGCCTGGCTTCTGACATCTCCCACAAATGCAGGCAAGGCAACAGGCCATCAGGGGAAATGAGGGGGACTGTGTGCTGACTAGGGACAGGAACGAACCTCATCACAAACCTAAGTTTGTCATGAAAATCACCCTGTTTGTGCCATTTATTTTTTTTAACAGAGGTTCGTGTGGTTCATGTTGGTGGTTCGTGAGGCAGACAGGCTGGCACCAATCGTCAAAGCAACAGAGGGGGATGGACTTCTGCAGCCCTGGAAACACCAATGGTGGCCCTCCAAAGCTTGATAGGCCAACAAGAGAGCTCCCATTCTGCTCTATGGGAGCAGAATGGATATATACCCCCAGCACACACTCAGTTGTTTTTACTTGGCAGTAGGCAGTTACGTACAGAGAAAGTTAGAGGAAGAGAGGGAAGGGAACTGGGAGTCATTCCTCAGTACAGTGAACAGTGGAGTTGGGGGTGTTTGGTGCTTACTCAGGTCTCTGAGGCACCTGTCCTTCTGCTAAAGCCAAGCAGAGGGGCTCAGCCAGTGGGTGCCTCTGCCGAGGATCCACCCTCCCGCCTAATTGTCAACACCCCTCTGTGCTCATTGCAAGGGAAAGAAGTCCACCCTCTCCGTCCCACAGGTCCCTCTCCCTGTGGAACAAGACTGTCCTGACAGCCCAGCAGTGCCCAGCTGTACTGGGGTGTCACAAGGGGTTTCAGAGGCAGAGCCTCTTTTCCCCAATGTCTTCTTGGGGATAGACTTGGGGACAGAAGAGCTATTAGCGCTGCCAAAACTAAAGCAGTTGCTAAACCTGTTTGCAGAGGAGGAATCTGAGAATGGTGAATTAGGAGGTGATAGGGAAACATCCAGGCCCTCCACATCCCAACTCCTTGGGGATGCTCCTGCCTCGAGTTCACCTCTCTATCAGTCCTCTTAGCCTTGCACCAGACTGCAGCAGCTATGCCTCCCACCTGCCCCAATTTTGGGTCCCGTTTCCAGTCCACGATCTGGGAACATTTCCGCACCCTCAACAACAACCCCTGTGTGGCAGAGTGCCGGGTGTGCATTGTTCAGATGTGGAGGGGCTCGGACCCCAACCACTTATCAATCTTCCACTCTCTGTAAAGAGTGGCACCCAGCAGGGGGAAGAGGCCCACTTTGTCTCAGTAGGAAGAAGGGGTGGAGCGGGAGTCCCCTCCAAGCAAAAAGACTCACACTGAGGGTGCTGTAGGTGGGAGTGGAACCTCCAGGCAAACCACCCTCAAGGAGACCATTCCCATGGGGACGCTGGCACTGTCAAGCAAAAGGACTAGGGGGAAGGCCCAGGATACACTCACTCGCTTCATCAATGAGATGGTTACCATGGATGGCCAACTGTTGTCCATAGTGGAAGATGTGGCCTTTCGCTGGCTGCTGCATTACATCACTCTATGGTATTCCATCCGCTCATGGAGGACCTGAAGCCAGTGAGTCTTCCCCTCCATGCACCGCTGTGCGGTGGAGATAGACAAGGCTGAGCTCTCCAGAGTGCAAGGGTGAACTGTGCGCTTCATAGCGGACCTCTTAAGCAGCCAGCAGCATAGCTCCCTCATCCTCACTGCCCACTGGAGGACCTCTGGACTGCTGGGGCAAGACCACGCCCTGGGAGGAGGTGACAGTTCTGCTGCTGGGCTAAAAAGTTGTTCTGCTCCATGTGCAATGGATGGATGGAGATCACATGAAGAACATCACCACTGCGATCCACACTAAGCTGAGAGAGTGGGTGGACATGGGTGACATTGTCCGTGGCTACACGGTCATGGATGCTGGTGCCAACATGCTGACAGTGGTCAAGGCCATGCACATCAAGGGCATTGTGTGCCTCACACCCTGCACATGGTGGTGAGGGATGCTCTTGGGCTGGGGACCAGTGTCAAGCCCACATGGGATGCAGCCACACTTGAGACACGCTCCTTATTGGAGACCTGGCGGTGCCGGACTACACATTTTTCTTGCAACATCAAGTCTGCCCATCTGCTGTGTGAGAGGCAGGTGGAGGGAGGAGCCCGAATATTACTCATGCAGGACATGCCCACCCGCTGGAACACCCATGCAATGGTTGCGCATCTGGTGGAGCAAAAGAGTGCAGTGCAGGAGGTAATCTCCTCCATGCCCATCCGGCACAGAGGACAGGAGCTCAGCATAAGCTCCAATGACTGGCTCACCCTTTCCCAAGCAGTGCATGTCCTCAAGCCATTCCAGGACACCACCGATGTCCTCTGCTCCCATATGGCCAGCCTGGGGCAAGCCATCTACGTGATCTGCAGGCTGAACTGGAAACTGACCTCCGCACTGGCACTGGGGGCAGCTTTCCTCCCAAGGGCCAGGGCGTTGGCAGAGAGATTGCAAGCAGGTGTGACCACCTGGTTGCATCCTCTCTGCAAGGAGGAGCAGTACAGTGTGGCCGACATTTGCAATCCCCGTATAAAGGGCAGCATCCCTCATCATTCTCCATAACTTGGAGCTCCTGCAATGGAGGCAGGACCTGCAAAAGAAGAGCAAAGATTGCAGGGGAATAGGGGGTGGAAGAGGCTGAGGAGGGAAAAGGGGGAGAAGGAGCAGCAGCCCAGCACCTCAGCCTCCAAGAGCCCAACCAGGAAGGATCCCCAGAACTGGTCCTCAGGGGTGAGCTGGGAGGTCAGTGGCATCGGAGAGGCCAGGCATGCCCTGGTAGAGCACTCGGCAGACATGACGGTGAAGGAGTACCTTGTCTAGCCCCCTGAGCCCACTGACTCCAATTCCCTGGAGTATTGGTCATGCAAGGCTGCCTTCTGGCCCGACCTGTCCTGCATGGCCATGAGACTCCTTTCCTGCCCCCTCCACCAATGTCCAGAGTGAGCTGGTGTTCTCCCACCTGGAAGACATCCTCAGTTCCCACCACTCACACCTGGCTCTGGTGGATGAGTTGGCCTTCCCCAAGGTCAACCTCCCCCTGCTGGGCTACCCCTCTCTGGACCTTGGGGAGTAAAGATCCAGTATCCCTATCCCCTCTTTCCTACATCCATCTGTTCACAAGTTGTGTCCCCCCAAGGTTTTGGGTCTCCATGGGTGTTTGGTGCTTACTTAGAGCTCCATCTGTCCTTCTGCTCAAGCCAAGCATAGGATCAACTGCCAAGTTCTTGGCTGAGGACCCACACTCCTCCTGAGTTATGTTCCACAAAGAATTGGTGCCTCAAGCCTCCCTGTCCACATCTCCCCCCTCATGAGTTATGTCCCACCAAGTTATGTCCCCCCCATCCACATTTGCCTCCTTATGATTTCCATCCTCCCAAAAATTGGCACTTCCAGCCTCCCCTCATCCAGGTCTGCCTCCTCATGATTTCTGTCCCAACAAGAATTGATGCTTCCAGACTCCCACCTTCCATGCCTGCTTCTCCACAATTACTGTCCCCTCAAGAATTGCTACTTCCAGCCTCCCCCCATCCACATCTGCCTCCTCATGACTTATGTCCCCCCAAGAACCAGCACTTCCAGCCTCTCCTCACCCACGCTCTTGGGGAGATGGATTCTGGCTGTGGCTGCTCTCACCTAGGGCTATGTTTCCACATTAAAAGGCCTTTCTTTCTCACACTCAAAGGCTGCTTCACCACATTACCCCTCATTGGGATTTGCAAACACTTCCTCCTTAGCATTGGTGTCCCTCTCAGAATTAGCACTTCCAGCCTCCCCCATCCACACCTGCCTCCTCACAACTTGTCTCCCTTCCCAAAGAATTGGTGCTTCCAGCCTCCCTTCACCATATCTGTCCCCCCAAGAATCAGCACTTTCAGCCTCACCCCACAACTAGGGATGTGCATTTTGGGATCCCGAGCCAAAAAAAAGCCGAAAATAACGTTTTTTGGCTTTTGGGATCCCGAATTAGCAATTTATGCACTTGTCCGAATCCCGAAAAAAAATCCCGGAAAAATTCGGGTCCATTATAGCCAATGGGGCCATTGAAGTCAATGGCAAAAATCTTCTTGAAACTTTGTGGGGGGCTGGGGGGGAGGGGGTTTGGGGCA